CTCCGCCCAGTTCGAATAAATGGAGCCTCTCCTCAACCACGGCCTCCGCCAATCTGATCTCTACCTGCTCACAACACCCTCTCGTCTCTTTCCGCTGTCCATCCCCCAAACTCACCTGATAAGGGGGCGTATCATTTATGGGTAACTTCAGCTCTTCCGCCAGTCTCCGACTAATAAAGTTGTGGCTGGCCCCGCTGTCGATGAGGACTAGCACCTCCCTGTGCCCAATCTTCCCCCTCAATTTCATCATCTTCGGTTGGGTTAACCCTTCGACGGAACACGCCGATAGCTCCATAGGTTTTGAATTTTGATCTATCCCTTCTTCCGCTTCGTCATCCTCATCCTCCGCCAACAGCAAAACTCGCAGACTCTTCTCCGAGCATCGGTGGCCAGGAGCAAAGGGGCCTCCGCACCGGAAACAACGACCCTCTTCTCTCCTTTTAAGAAATTCCGAATACGGTAAGTTTCGCACCGTCCGTCCCCGATTATCGGCGCCTCCGGTCACACTCCCTATCGAACTGCTCGCCGGCATCGCTCCCTCTCTCCTAGCTGATCCATTGTCTTCCGTTCTCCCTGTCCGGTTTGTGGACTGGCGTTCGGTTTCGCCACGTACTACCGAACCTACCATGCGCGACCCCGATGGGTTACTTTTCATCCCGTTCCAGCCCCCTCCTTTCGCCCTCATTATCGCATCTTCTACGTCCCGCGCGATCCTGATCGCAACCATGAATTCTTGAGGATCTTGAATGCGGACTTGTCCCCTGATGTCTTCTCGCAGTCCAGCGAGAAAAAACCCCATCACCAGCTCCTCCGATAACCCCCGAGTCTGACCTATTAATATTTCAAAGCTCCGGACGTACTCCTCCACTGATCCCTCTTGCCGCATTGTCGCAAGCTGTTCAAACACCGATCCTCTGGATCCCCCTCCAAACCGATTCACTAACGCCATTTTAAGGGCCGTCCAAGAACGAATCTTGGCTTTTTCCTTCCAAACATTAAACCAGTAACTCGCGCTCCCCTCCATGCTAATGTAAGCGAGTTCCACTTTGTCCTCCTCAGCCACTTTTTGGATTTCGAAAAATCTTTCGGCTCGATTAATCCAGATGTATGGGTCTCCGCCTTCAAAGGATGGCAATTCCACTTTCTTCCTCCAGTTGTGCGATATTCCCCCAGTATCGCCTCTCCCCTGATTATCATTCACTGAACTGCTGCTTCCCTCAGAACCACCCCCTTGATGGTTTGCACCCCCTTGATGGTTTGCACCCCCACTCATCAACCTCATCATTTGTTGCAAATCGCGTCTGATTGCCGCGGTCTCCTCTTTAATTCCCTCCACTGTGATCTCCAAGTTATCCAGTCTTCCCTCCGTCTCGCTACCCATCACTGGTTCTCCTCCTATCGGATCCGGCAGGTCGGACCAAATGATAGGTTCTTTTAATCAAGAACCTAAGAATAACACTAGAAACACCGCACAGGACAAGTTTTCTGAATTATACAGCCTCCTTTTATTGCCAAAGAATCAAGAAGAATGGTGAATACAAGATACTCAGAGAGCTTAACCTCTCCCAAAGAACTACACGAGTTCCTGCACAATCAATAAGACTCCAAAACTGCCCTCTCTCACCAACCAACCCACCCCTTTTATACTGACTTACCTAACTGCCAGGCAGTTAGGCTGGGTAATGTTTCTTCTTCTACTAGATACAATTAGTTCCCTAACAGAGTGCATATCAGTTTTGAGGGTGACTGTTAGGTTCTTACACTAAAGATTCCTAACAAATTGGTTCGACCTGCCGGATTGAGACGCCGTCGGAATTGTGTGAAGGCGCAGACAGAGGAGCTGCGACCAGATTATGCAGCAATATGCCAAGATTATGCTGCAATACGCCAAGATTATGCTGCAATACGCTAAGATTTGCAAGAAATCATAAGGATGTTGGGTGGTCGAGGCCACAACCAGGACAACCAACATTGGGACCGGCGAAAGGAAGAGGAAGGGGAGAGAGGGGATGAACACCATGAAGTGCAACCGAGCGGGGAGAGGAGAGTAGATTTACCCATTTTCGAAGGGTTTGATGCGATGGGGTGGATTGCTAGGGCGGAGACAGTTTTTGAGACCCAGGGGGTGAAAGAGGAAGGAAAAGTGCGCCAGGCATACAGTAGCATGGAGGGAAGTGCTGGGTATTGGGTCCGGGACTGGAAAATTAAAGCCAAGAATCCTTCTTGGGACGGACTGAAGGAAGCTATGGTGGTGTGATTTGGAGGGCAAAAAGAAATGAAGATTTACGATGATGACATCATCGACGCTTCAAGTTCGGCTGGTGCGTCATTGCACGCGCTCCCCAGAGGCTCCAGATTGGAGCATCATCAAGTCGCTCATTCTGGTGAATGAAATCGCAGCGGTGGAAGCCGACTGTTCTGTCGCGCTCTCCTCCTCCCAGCAGTGGAACATCATCACCCAAAACTGCATGGCCTTGGACGTGCAGCGCGACCTCACGCAGTGCCACCGCAAGTGGCATGCGTTGCTCTCTGACTACGACCGCTTCAAGAGAACAACCACCGCTGGAGGCAAATTGTCGCCGAATGGCGATTACGAATTGAATTTCGATTACGAATTGTTTGAGGCAGTTGAACGCATTGTGAGGGCACGTGAGGAGTGGGGCATGGCTGATCCCGAGAGCGATACTGAAGAAGGGAATGATGTGCGTGACACCACTGTGGAAATTGGGTCCAAAAGAAAAGGGCAACGGAGTAAGTTCAGACACCGCTTTCAAAAGCCCAAACTTGAACAAAGGCACGAGGACAACCATGAAGAAGAGCGTGAGGAAAAACCATTCTATTCGTGGGTGAAAAAAGAAAGTGGTGAGTGTTGAAGAGAATAATAATAAAAGTAGCGTTGAAGGGGTTGCAGAGCAAGCGATGAGTGGTGTTGAAACAGTGAAAGTGGTGGATGTGGCCACCGAGAACCAAGAGGAGCAAAGGGGGCTTGCAGTTCATGTTACACCTGCAGAGGGGAGAGAGCTGCTTGAAGTTTTGAAAGACATTGAAGACCATTTTCTCACGGCTTATGATGCTGGAAAAGAGGTGATCATACTGCTGGAAGTTAATAGAATCCGGGAAGATTGGAAGATAGTGGAGGAGGAATTGCCACCATCCAAGCCTCCAAACCTGAAGTTGAAGGTAGTAGCCAGCGGGTTCTCTTACTATGATAAGACCACATCACAATGCAATGGGTTCAAGTTTCATTGTTCCAACCTTGAGGACAAGGTTGTTTTGCAGCGGTGTGTAATGATAGGATATAAGATAGGGCGGTGGAACAGTTGGAGAAGGCGGGCAAGGGGCCTATAAATGTAAACCTTTTGTAATTCTGTAAGGGAGTTAGTCAATTGTATACTTTGTACATACCGGTTTCGAACCCGGTGAGAGGGGTTAGGCCCTTGAGTTACACTTGATACTCAGTGATTGTTACTGTGAATAACATACCCATTGTTTGATTCTTTCTGTCTTGTGTGAGTGCATATCAGTGGTGAGGGTGACTGTCAGGTTCTTACACTAAAGATTCCTAACAAATATGCAATAAAGGGAAGGATTATAGGAGATTTCGTATTTATAGGGAGTAAATGCAAATAAATCCTAATAGCAATCTATTAAAGGTAGAAAATAATAATATAAGAAAGACTAGTAAAGACATAGTCAAATACTTAAAAATACTCACCAAGGGGTTGAACAACAACAACTTGGAGAAAATTATATCCAAGTGGAAATGAAAAACACATGTTCACTAGCTCGAGGAGAAGTGTGGAGATATTTTTTGAAATTTCAGATTTTATTTTGTTCGGATATTTCAGGAAGTTCCATATTTTATTACTGGCTTACTAATCCCATAAACTTAGGGATTTGTTTCCTAGAATGTAGTCTGTGCTTGTTTCCTAAATTAACCAATCAATTTATGTGTTTGTATCTGTTAGATATATTATATCTTTTATCTTTTAGTTAGTTTGTTATTATTTCTCATTTGTATTTTGGGCTTAGCCCATATTTCTTCTATTATAAATAGAGAACCCTATGTGTGTGTATTTAACACAAGGGAGATTAATCTAAATATAGTTTTTCACTATATTCAACATGGTATCAGAGCAGGTTCTCTGATCTTCTTCTGGTGTCTCTGCTGTCTGCCGGCGGCTGGCCGCCATGGCCGCCGGCAGCCCCTAAAATTTCAGTGGGCAACCCTTCTCTCTTTCTTTTTCTCTTAAATCTGTGCCACAGTCAGCACCGTGCAGTCAGATCTCTCCACCGTCGCCGCCGCTTCTTTCCGGCCAGTCCGTCGCCGCCTCCGGCCACCGCCGCCGCCGCCGCCGGAGTTCCAGAATCGACCGGCGACCACACCATCGGAATCGTCTCGACCGGGCGACCACCGTGGTATGAAGATCGCGGCGAACGGACCTCTCACGCACCTCCACGCGCCGCCGCAAGAGTCACCGCTGCCGCTGCTAACTCCGGCCACCGTCGCCGTCGCCGCCACCACCGCCGGCCACCGTCACAGTTTCGATGGGTGACCTGCGGATCTCGAACGTCTCTTCGAGCGACGACCAACCACGCTGGTTTCGAGAGCCGCTTCTCAGTCACGTGCTGCCACGCAGCGCTTCTTTCATAGATATGATGTTTTATATTTGAACATAAGCATATGAAAGAGGCTAGGTATTGGTGTGTTTTGCATCTAAATGATTCAATGTGTTTGAATTGGTTATACGTAAGGCTAGCTAGTGGGTCAAAGCTGGAATTCTTACACAATAACTTAGTAACCATTATGATTAGAAGTTTACAGAAATTGATGTATTACAATAAAAAATATGCTTTTCGTGGTTATATTTTTCTTTAAAGGAGCTTTATTAATGCATTATTGGAGCGTTCCTCATTCAATACTAGTGTGGATATGGAAAATTTTGGAAATAACTGAATGACACATAATGGCTTCATTGTCTACACTTTATGTTTTGCAGGCAGGAAACCAGTCATCAGTACTAGTGTGGGATTCTTTTACTTTATCTGTTGTCTCTGAATTGAAAGGCCATATATATGGAGCTACATGCATCTGTTTCTCACCGAATGGTTGGTATACTTTACAGTCCATATGCTTGCTTTTAATTTTATGTAATCACTGCTTCTTACTCATTATGTAGTATTCTGTCCAAGGTAAACATCTGGTGTCTGTTGGAGGATATATTTACCTTTGGAACTGGCGGAGTGGTGAGCTGATAACAAAGCTTCAAGCAACTTCTTGTTCTACAATTTCAAGTATTAGCTTCTCATCAGATGCAAAATTTTTTGTAACTTCTGGGAAGAAGCACCTGAAATTCTGGTTACTTGGATCTTCTAGAAAGACTCAACTATATGAAGGGATGAGAAAGAGTACATCATTAGCAATACATGAAAAGCCTACCAATCTTTCTATTCATAAAGCAAGCTCTGTTACATCTATCAGTTCTGTGTGGTGTTGTAATGGCTATGATAATTGTAAAAAAGCTGGTGATTGCTTTCCCATATATACATTGACTGATTCAGGTTAGATTCAGTTCAGAGAGTCTCAGTTTGAATTTGTTTTTTGTTAAGATTTTAAGGCATTCGTGTTTCTTGGATTTCCATGATGAGTATGATCTTAGTACAATTTCATTTCTTTCTGTTTTACTGGCATTTTGCGCCTTATTTGTTTTCTTTCTGTTTGCAGGCATTTTATACCTTATTAATTCTGGGATGTCGGTTGAAAAGTCTGTGACCTTGAAAGTATGTCCATGTCTTCTCATTTTTGTAATATGTCTTTAGCATACCAAAGGTTATGTTTTAACAGATTTGTAGAGACTTAAAACTACATGTAGTAGTAAATGATGATATAAGTACAAGACTTAACATTCTTATGTTGTTTGTACTTTCTAAGATGATCATGCCATCACGAACTGTATTAGTTTAAAGTTAATTATAGTTGCTACTAGTTTGAGGATTTATTATGGTGTTAGACTGTTAGTTCCTTGAAATTTTCATTATTCCCAAATTCTCATTTTCAGGTTCGAAAAGCTTTTGCATTATCAACATCAGCAAAGCTAATTGCGTGTGCATGCAATAATGGAACAGTCCAATTATTCACCCCCATCTCTCTAGAATACGTGGGTAGTATATTGTATTCAAAGAAAAAAAAGTTACTTAAAGGAAGCAATTTAGTTAGTCACACTATAGTTCCAGAGCAGGCTTCTGAACAGTTACTTGCCCTGCCTGATGCAATTGCCTGTCAGTTTTCGGCCTTAGAAAAGATTGGTGATTGCTAAATCTTCTACTTGTTTTTCTAATTCTATTTAACATAATCTTGTGTTGTGCACTGATGTATTTATGTTTTCTATATAGTTGTTGTTTACGGAGATCATAGTCTCTACATCTATGACATCCATGATGTGAATCAGGTAGATGTTTTTGTAATATGTTTGTTATTATGACTTTTCAATAGTATATTTAACATGTTCAATGTTTTGATAGTTTTTACTAGAAATTAGGGATGCAATTACCATAGTTTAGGGTTTAATTTATTCGTATGTATTATGAATGATTCTATTGTGCCCTACTATGTGATTATAAACAACTCTTGTGTACAACACACAACAATCCTTCTACAATAGTTTTTGATTTATTATAAATTGGTTATAATTCATATTAGATTAATTAAGCTCATGCTACTCAACTCTTTTTTTGTAAGTTACTGTATGATGCAGCAAGCTTTATTCCCCATATTTTTTTGGCCACAAGGTGTTGACAAATCTGCAATGGTTAATGGGAAACAAATTGTCATTATTTTCCAGGTCACAAAGTGTTATGTGCTTGTTTCACATTCCTCATGCATATGGGATATCAAGAATCTATGTTGTGAAAACATGCATGATCCATCTCTTGCATGCACTGCTAGAGGTTGTCTGGGGGGGATTTCTTTTGCAACTTGTTCTACTGATGGTACAATCAGGATCTGGGATATTGCTTTGCAATCTGATTTTTCAAATGATGCTGAAGATTTGAAGACTGAACTATTGAGTTCTTCATTTTTAGGTAACTTGATTGTTAGAAAAAATTCTCAATTATCTCCTCTTTTAAGTTATTTAGTTCTCACAAGTTGTGCTCTTCTTGTCTATTGCTACAGTAACTGCTGGGACATTTGAACGTGATGCAGTTAAGGTACATGTTACAAATGGAGAGTTTCGGTCACTTGCTGTTAGTTCAGATGGAAATTATCTCGCTGCTGGTGATTCCAAAGGGAACATTCATATATACAACCTTCAAACATCGGATTACACATGTTTCCAGGTGAGCTCAGGCACCTGCTTTTTTTTTTTTTTTAGAAATTATTGTGCTGTAAAACCATATTTGAAGCTTCACAACATTTATATGGTCATTTATATCCTTCACAATATTTCAGGGTGCTCATGATGGGGAGATTCTTACATTAAGCTTCACCTTGTCCACCCAAGATAAGGAAATTGTGAAAAACAATTATTTTCTTGCTTCAGGGGGACGAGATTGTATGATCCATCTCTATGATGTGAAAAGGTGTGTTTCTGCAATTTGTAAGGATAACCTAGTTGGTTGTTTATACATTTCAATAACTTTTTGATTGTATGTCGCAGAAATTTTGATCTTATTGACAGCATTGATGACCATTCGGCTGCAGTGACTTCTATCAAAATTAGCAGCAATGGTTGCAGGATCCTCAGTTGTAGTGCTGACAGGTATGCTAGTAGGTTTTGCATCACACTATCTGTTACGTTACCGAGTACGAGACATAATTAATCACGATCACAGTAGACAGAAAAGATAATGAAAGAAATAGAATTCTGTAAACAAAGGATAGTTGGGGGCATAACCTCCCTTACTAAACAAGGATAGATGGGAGCATAACCTCCCTCACAAGACTCTTCCAGCTACCTTGGGCTTAGTCCCCGACGAACTAGGTTGTTGTGCATTTGCCATCTTCTTCTTGGGACACACATGAGCAAAGTGCCCCGGTTTGTCACACACAAAGCATTTCTTCTCTTTAGTCTTCACTCCAGAGAGTTTAGGGCAGTCCCTCTTGTAGTGAGCACCGCCACATTCATAACACGTTACTGATGCAGGTACAAGTGGTTGGGGTCACTGATAGGGTTTCTTGCCTTGTTTCCCTCCAACAGATTTGTTCTTCTGAGTCCTGTCGACTCGACTTTGGTTCCGATCCATCTCCAGAATCTCCGCCTTCTTTGTCTTCTCGAATAAGGATGGAAACTTCTTAATCTCCAGAGGAACAATCATCCTCCTCAAGTCATACCTTAGACCTTGCTCGAACCTTTGACACTTCCAATCCTCTGTCATACCCTGACTATAAAAGAAGATTAAGTACTCGAACTTGTTGATGTATTCCTACACAGACATCCCACCTTGACGCAAAGCGAGAAACTCCTTTTCTCTCTCGACTTTAGCACTAGCTGGAAAGTATTTCTCCAAGAACTTAACTTTGAAACTGCTCCACGTGATCTCCTCACCATCAGATTCCATCAGCATCTGCGTGTCGTCCCACCAGTACTCGGCTTCTTCCACAAGCAAGAAAAGCGCATAGTCCAGCTTTAACTCTTCCGTGCATCTGATCACACGAAAGATTTTCTCGATCACTTTGATCCAAGCCTTCGCCTCTTCTGAGCGAGTTCTCCCGTTGAATCTTGACGGGTTATGCCTCAGAATGTCATTCATCGTTGAATGAGTCCTCGGTTCATGAGCGGTATGTTGTCGCTCCATTGCATTGATCATCCAATCAACAACACGATTAAATTCATCAGACGAGGGGGTTCGACTTTGGGTGCTAGGTTCACAGGCCATGATCTATCTCACATGTCACAGGAAAATTTAGCAACCATAACTACAAGCATCTAAAAGCTTTTGCACAGTCAACACAAACAAATCACAATTTCACACCATAGACATAAACGAATTCACTTCCCAAACCCAAAAATATTTTCAAAAATCATTGAGGATTTTGCAAAAGTAACCGCTCTGATACCACAGGTGTCACGCCCAGATATTTTATCCTGAGAGGGTGACACTGTGTTTAATTATTATTATTTTTTGGTTTAAACCCTCGGATGGTCCTCATATTTGTATTGGAATCTCAGTTGGGTCCTCATATTTGAAACTGTTTCAATTGGGTCATAATATTTGTAAACTTGAGCCAATTTTACCCTATCCGTTAAGTTGTCCCAAACGTTGTTAACTTGAGCTGAGCTGTAACTTTTTTTTATGGTGTGACATTATACATTAAATTGAATGAGTGATGTGTTTTAGAATCATTAAATCGATGTGGTGGCGGTGTTTCTTCTTCCCTCCAACCACTGATCACCTTTCACCTCTTCCGCTCGTTCGCCCAAGCTGCTTCCTTCCCACTCCCACCCTCAAACCCCCACTCCCACCCTCAAATCCGCACTCCCTAGACACACACCCTTTCTCCTCCACCGACAGAGGGCCTCATTTCCATCGTCGCTTACACTCTCCCGTTCTTCAACTCCTTCCAGTACGGTCGTTACCTCTTGGCGTAGTACCCTAAGCTCGTCGTCCTCTTCGATCCAATCGTCCCCTTCCTCGCCTTCTACAGATCCATCCCCTACTTCCTTTGTCGCCTTCTACCGCGGTGTCGTGCGAAACCCTACCTTCCCCTGCTACGTCAGGTTCAAGTCATGTAAGTCGTCACCCTCGACATTCTCCTCGTTTTCCTCACCTCATCACGCGAATCTTCTCCCCTAGTCGTGGCCCTCTCATGATTTGGTCCAGCAACGCAATTTTCGTCTTCAGCATTCTTTGCTTCCTCTATGGCGTCGCTTCGTGTGTCTTGGAACGCACGCTGCTTCCAAGCAAATATGATTTTATTTGGGCTTTTGCATTTTTTTTTCTGTTTTCTTCCCTGTATTCAATCTCCTATCGAATCTTTCTGCATTTTTGATTCATGTATAGAAAGGTACCCTCATCTCTATGGAAGTGATGGAAGGGTGTACTCTTGCTTGGCAGAACTTGGGGTAAGATTAACACATGAACCAGGTTTTCACCAAGTAACAAAAATTTGAACTTTTGGTCGGCCTTATCAGTGCATAGTGAATGATTATGATTTGATTTTAACTAGAATATACAAACAGTACAAAGGTTGGTAGATGAATTAATCTGTTAACTTTTTTGATTGTGAAACTGGATCAGGTAGATTTGAAGGGAAATACCTTTGGTTTATGTTGTAAATGTTGATTCCAGAGGATGCTACAACAAGCAATTTTCTATGACAGACAATTTTCATGGATAGTTGCAGTTTCATGGGGCTATGCTGTTCAGGTTTTCCCAAACCATATGCTTTTGCCAGATGTTCTAAAGGTGCATGAGACATTCAAGCAGTGGAAGAAGGGAAGTATGTTGGCAAAAACATACACTTTCAACACAAGACAACTTCACAACGACCCTTGTAAAAGATCCACCGTTTTCTTTCTAGACACTGTCTCATCTTCCAAGGATGGCACCATAAGCAGTTACAAGAAGTCTTTTCAGAATTGCTCAAACGATGCCGTGTCACCGAACAAACTGGAAGTGATCAAAGTTTTAGGAACATGGCTTGACATTGCTAACAGTCCTCACAAACTTTTCTGTTGTGTTTAGTTGCTTGCTCCAAGAAGGCATTGTTGTGATGTGTTGCCCTCTATTGCCAAGGACAAAATGGAAATTGCAATCACGGAATGCAAAGATCAGGAGTTGGTTTACGAATGAAGATAGATGAGATTACAAGAGTAGATTAATTAGAAGCTTTTGCCCAACATTTTGTATCTCCAGTGTAAAAAATATGATTGTGACCTAAAATTATCACCACTTTCTGCAACAGTTGTAACTTGCAAACTTCGGTTGAATCCTTCATTTCTCTGCTCTCTTTTTTTTTGGCCTTCTCAGTCTTTTACAATACTGTCTTTGGACAGACACTCACGCAGGAGAAGAGGAGTTCGACAAATGCGCCCCGACGGCGGCGTTTTTTAGTTTGAGAGGGAGAAAGGGTGTGTCTGGGGAGTGAGGGTGGGAGTGGGAAGGAAGCAGCTTGGGCGGAGGAGCAAAAGAGGTGAAAGGTGATTAGTGGTTGGAGGGAAGAAGAAGCACCGCCGCCACGTGGATTTGATGATTCTAAAACACAACACCCATTCAATTTAATGCACAATGCCACGCCATAAGAAAAGAAAATATAGCTCTGCTCAAGTTAACGACGTCTGGGACAACTTAACGGATAGGATAAAATTGGCTCAATTTTACAAATATTATGATCCAATTGAGACAGTTTCAAATATGAGGACCCAACTAAGATTTCCATACAAATATGAGGACCATCCGAGGGTTTAAACCTTATTTTTTAAACACAAACATGTCTGATACCTTGCATTAAACTCGACATCCAAAATAACTTAAACAAAATAGTTTCATCCTCCAGTTGCACTGAGGAAATAATAAAATTACAGTCCAATTAACAATTAAAATTATTCAAAATATTCAAAATATTCAAAATCCCCATTCAGGTTCCCCACTCGCAAATCCTCGCATTACATTGCCTCTTCTTCCCCTGTCACGTCATCTACTCCGTATAACATCATGCGTTATACGATCATCGCATTCACATGCACAAACACAAACAGCAGGGTGAGCTAACTGAAACAAACATACAAACCATTCACAGTTCTTTAATAATATAATAACAATATTTAATACAGTTAAACACGCCACTGAACATAATATTACGATATTATTGTTTGATAAAGATTACTATTTCACTTATCAAAGAGTCACAACGTTACCTCCTCCGACCTACTTACCAAAGTAGCACAAACCAAGTTCTTCTGCCTGCTTACCAAAACAGCACAAGACAACACTGTCTACTTACCAAAGCAGCACAACATAATTACTCCGCCTACTTACCAAAGCAGCGCGATTTATATGCCTCTCTTCATCCATCCGCCTTCCTGCCTACTTACCAAAGTAGCCCAATACCCAATTTAATTGTCTACTTACCAAAGTAGAATATTATCAGATCATTCTGCCTACTTTTCAAAGTAGCACAGTACCAATTCTTCTGCCTACTTACCAAAGTAGCGCAATACCAAAATTCTCCTGCCTACTTACCAAAGTAGCACAGATCAACCTCTTCCTGCCTACTTACCAAAGTATCGCGAACCGACATAATTAAATTATACGACAGATTACTCATAATCAACCATCACCCATCTCAACCAATAATTCCAATCAAATCATGCTCAACAATCACATAATAAAACTTTCGCAAAATCTCAAATTTAATTCTGCCTACTTACCAAAGTAGCGCAATCCTAACAAATATATGTCTCAACACTTAATTCATAACCAAATTCATATTTTAATCGTTCTCAATTATACTTAACAAAGTATTTTCAGTTGCAACTCATTTCCATATCTTATCATATTCACAATTTCCTTCATGACACCCTTGATTACCTATATTTAGGTAACTCAAACAGCTTGGGGACCATTACCAATGGATCCGGAATGGTCAAAAACCCCCAGAACGACCTAAAGAACGTCCAAAACGGACATCCGGAACCCCTAAAACCACCAAAAACCAAATCAACAGCGTGCACAATAACATTCATGAGCAAACTTCTCTGTTTTACATCTTTTCCATGGTTTTTGGCATCTTAAAATCTCATAACAACTCATACCAAAA